GCGGCGCCCACCGCCGCCCCCGGGGCCACTTTCACCGGCGGCCCTTCACGAGAGTCGGCCCCGGCCTGCGTTCGAGCGCGAGCTCCTCTTGAGCTAGAGGGAGAGCGAGAGAGAGAGAGAGGAGGGGCGCCCGCAGCGCCAGCCGGTTGGCGGTCCGCGCACTCGTCTGGGAGGGGCGACACACCAGGTCCCCCCTGCCCCCCCCCCCCACCCAGTCGTCGTCTACCGCACTCCACACAGCCCTCCCCCCCCCCGCCCCCCGGCATGGTCTGCACTCTGTGCCACTCATGCCGGCACGTGACGGCACGCACTCGCATGCCATGCCGCACATCACAGACTAGAAACGGGACACTCAACGAGGAAGAATTAAGCCAGCGGTGGTGGCTGAGCAAGACGAACTGTGCATCCCATATGTCCTGAGATGACGGCGCAGCGAAGCCGCCGAAGCGGCTGGAATTTCTCGCATCCGTGTCACTTCCGGCTGCATGACTGCCAAACTTCCCCTGCAATGTGCTTGTGCGCACGACGCACGGCGGTGTGGCACGGTGTGGCGCACGACGAAAGCGTACACCAAGACGATGCGTATGGGGTCCACCCTCCTCCTACCACAGTGGCTCACACACGGCGGCCAATAGCGCTCACAGCACGCCTTTGGCCTCTCCCCTGGAGCCAACATCTGTGTAATCCCAACTGACACCGCCCACTAGTTCGCACGGAGCCCACGCTTTGCCAGCACCTCTAAAAATCAAACCAGCTGTTGATGACATCGAACACCCAGCGCAGCCCCGTTGCAGTCTATTCCCCGAGGCGCGCCCCGGGTGAGGGGAAATCAGCTGACGCTGGCCGGCGCTCGCTCGGTCACGCCGTGCGTCACCCCGTGGGAACCAGGTCACGGTCACGGTCACGGTCAAGGTCATGGCCATGCACTCAGGCAGCCCGCCCGCAGCAGACAGGCAGTGCGCGAGGCAGCAGTGGAGAGGCGCGATAGGCTTACAGCTGTGTGCGGGGCGATCCCACATCAGAGAATTGGAATCCAGCATTGGGGTTCCAGGCACAATTCTCGCACACTAGTACGCATAGCACACGAGTTCGAAGCATACATAGTTCGCGGTCCGAGGCCGCTAGCCACGTTTAGGAGACAAAACGAGGAAAGGCGACGGAGTGCAGTGATAACGCACGAACCACGTCCTGTGTGCTTCAGAGAGAGAGCGACACAGCCATGACGCTGGGCGGGCGTGTACGCCTGACAGCAGGCAAACACGAGCGTCAAATTAACCTTCTCCACCTCAGCGCCACAGGTCAGGTGCCATCGCGGTTCATAGTGAAAGAGCGGAGAGGCCATCGCGTCGCTTGGCCACTGTGTGGTATGTCTGGCATGCCGGCGTCACCTGTCTAATCAAGGCACCGAACTTCTGATGACGCGACTCGTAACGCCGCTTCTCCCGTCCGAACGATCCGGTTCATGAACCCCATCGCCATGAACCCAACGGCCTCGAATCTCACGGCACGCACTCGTTTGTTCTTTCGGGATGATAGCGCTGGCATTACATGACGCTTTTCTCGATCAGACGACACTGCAGATGCGGAGGGTGTCGCCGCTCTCCAGCACACCGTCCCCCCCCCCCCCCCCGGACAGTCGCCGGCACACGGTGGCCGCACAGCCACCGGCACAGGGTGGCCGGACAGCCGCTGGCACAGGGTGGCCGGACAGTTGCCGGCACAGGGTGGCTGAGCAGTCGCCAGCACAGAATGAGTCATTTGGAAACCGGCCGCCGCAGCCGCCCACCACCACCCACCGGTCCAACAGAGCACGCACCGCAACGGCTAACGCCTGCGCCGCCCGCCCAGCGTGGCATCCAGCAACAGCTACAGTCTCAGGGTACAGAATGGGATCCGGCGACAGCTATAGTCTCAGGGTACAGAACGGGATCCGGCGACAGCTATAGTCTCAGGGTACAGAACGGGATCCCGCGACAGCTACAGTCTCGGGGCACAGAACGGAATCCAGCGACAGCTACAGTCTCAGGCCAAAGGATGGAATCCAGCAACAGCTACGGTCTCAGGACGCAGTACGGGATCCAGCAACAGCTTCAGTCTCAGGGCACAGAACGGGTTCCAGGGACAGCTACAGTCTCAGGGCACGGGACCTAGGGACAGCTACAGTCTCAGGTCACACAACAAGATCCAGGGATCGCTACAGTCCCACGATTCAGAATGGGATCCAGAGGCATAAATCCCACCTGGAGATGGGGTACAGCCGCACCGACGACAGCCAGTACCAGGCATTGTCCCAATAGTGGCAACACGCCCAAGGATTCGCTGTTTTCAAAAATCAAGTGCCCGAGCAAAACGACAAACGCAACAAACTAAACATATTTACACAACACGAATTGATTGCGATGAATAAGAATACACAGCGGAACGCCCTGGTACTCCAGCCGTGTGACTCCATTCGACGTCTCAGCACTCCAGCCGAGTGATCCCAGCCGACGTCCCGGCACTCCAGCCGTGTGACCCCAGCCGACACACCGGTACTCCAGCCGTGTGACCCTAGCCGACGTCCCGATACTCCAGCCGAGTGACGACAGCCGGCGTCGCCGCGGTTCTGATAGCGTGTTTTTTTTAGTGCCGAACGTGGCGAGGAGCCGCTGATCCGGGCTCAAGGTATCTGAAAGCCCGGTCGTTGGCGCCACCACGTGATACGTGGGATGGTGGAACCGGCCGGGCCGATACTGGTCAGGGGCGCAGCCCACGTGGGACCGAACTACAGGTGTGGGATGGCAGAACTGACCTGGCCGTCACTGGTCAGGAGCACAGCCCGGGTGGGACCGAACTACAGTTGTGGGATGGCAGAGCCGGCCTGGCCGTCACTGGTCAGGAGCACAGCCCGGGTGTGACCGAACTACAGCTGTGGGATGCTGGAGCCGGCCTGGCCGTCACTGGTCAGGAGCACAGCCCGCATGGGACCGAGCTACAGATGTGGGATGGCAGAGCTGGCCTGGTCGTCACAGGTCAGGAGCACAGCCCGGGTGGGACCCGAACTACAGCTGTGGGATGACAGAGCTGGCCTGGCCGTCACTCCAGCAAAACGCCGCACGGGTAATGAAGCCACGAAGGTGCGTGCAGTATGGATGCGAGCTTTCATTACACTCAAGAGCCGTTTCGCCACACTTTTCTGCTCAGAACCACTTAATGAAGGTAATAGTTTACACAGGACAGTACAAGAGTTCATAAATGGCCAGAAAAAAACTGACGTCATTACTAACAGTTTTACTGGTTTCAAAATGTATCAGCAGAAATGGACGGTAAGCTAACGTATAAGCATGGCTTAAGAGCTTCAGAATAGCGAGTGACACCTTTTTTCCTGCAGTTTCACTTTAATCTGATTACCTTTTTTTAGAACGTGCTGGTTCTGGTTTTCTCAAGGCTTCGGGGTGCAGCCGGCACCCTGGATGAAAACAATTCCGAGTCAGCTGATGCTTGGCTCCCCATACCGGAGATGCGCCCAGGAAGCAGCTGTGGCGCAAATGTCAGCAAAATTTAAAATGGCAGCCGACATAGGTGCCACCATTTAAAATTCCCCTCTTACAAAGATCAATATGCTTTAGTTTTATAAGCATACATTCTGACGAATTAATTATTTAGAGCTTATGCAAATCAGTACCACTTTTGTCGATTACCTCTTTCCAGAATACTATCCAAGAAACGTCAACTAGCAAAAGCGAAATGTAAACAAAATGTCAAATGACAAGGCTAACTGGCAAGCTGTCATAATGATTTGTTACACAAATCATCGTATCTTATTCTGTAAACATAAATTTTGCTCTACAAAACCCAAGTTGTCTTAACTTTGTTAGCTCTATATATATATATATATATATATATATATAGCTATCTAGCTATATGTAGTATGGCGTTCTTTTCGGATGATCATTTTGTTAACAAAATGATCATCCGAAAAAACGCCAGTAGGCTAACGCCGCCCATCAAGTATACATTGAAGTTTCGGCCCAGATTTATCCAGCGTTGCTATCACTTTCTACTCTCTGTCGTTCACCTTTATCGCGCACATTTCACTCAACCACCGCCAGCACAGTACACATTCTCGGAGCACCGTGGGCGCGTGAGCGAACGCACACGGCAACGCCCCGGTGTGGGCTGGAGGAAAGCCCGGCGCCCACTGTTCCGCAGAACAGGCGTGTCGCTGCCACGCGCTTTCCTCTACGTTTGCAGACTTTTTGAAAAGACCTGATTTTTCGTGCAGACAGACGGAACCCGGCACATGTAATAAACCAAAACCAAAGCTGCGTACCAAAGCCGAACGACCGAACCAAAACGCACCAAACGTGCTGAAACGCAACCAAGCGTAAGACGTAAACGTGAACGCACCAGAAAACGCACAAATGCTGGACGACCAGATAAAAATGTACCAAACGTACCGAAGCGTACCAAAAGAAAACGTAAACGTACCAAAAAGCGTGCCAAAGCTGAACAAGGTCATTCGAGAGGAACAAACGCTTCGAAGGGCGCCCAGCTATGGTTGCGCTGGCGCGCGGCAGGATCTCCAGAAGCAGCAGACGCATGTTGTCGCACCCACGTGCACGGACAAACATCAACGCCGCCGGCTGAGGTCATGCTAAAGGTGTGCAACGAAGCTTACACATGAAGGAAAACATTCCACTGCTACTTTCTCGATGCCACCACCAACAGCTGTTCGTAATTGCAACGCCTTGAACGGCAGGGTCTTCGCGTCACGGGCTAATTCGGTAAAGGAACGTCGCGACTCTGACGTGCACGGCTTGTGATAGTTATGCAGTGGCCTTTGTCATCATGACTCAGCGCTGAGGCGTCTTATGACGTTCGAGATTGCTCAGAGAGGTTTTTGCTCTCAGAAAATGCTTACATTTTTCATTCTCACTTCTAGAACTCGGCAAAAGGCTCTTGGTATTCTAGTTGAATTGCTGTTCTCTTGTCCACGGACAGTCGAATCCAAGGCTCACCTCGTTATCCATCTGAAGTGCCCGTTAAGACAGTTCACAGGAACCCGATAAACCTGGGACGACACTGGCGACATCTCGGGCTGGGCCTTCCCAACGCAGTCTTCCTACCAATCATAGCTCTGACACGGAACGCGCATCGCGCCTGTTGATTGGACCACGCCGGACGTTTCAGCACGCCCTGGAGTATGTCATACCTGTACTGAAGCCCAAGTTCCATATACGCCCGCCCCCCCCCCCCCCCCCCCCAGGGACCACGATAGAAATACGATGATCTTGTAAATAAAATAAAGAAATACGAAAGAAACATGATGCTTTTGGGGGCACTTCAGCGGCTTGGGCCGCGTTACGTCCCCATGTAGAATAACCACCTGTCACCGTGCCCAAAGCGCCTCGCTACCGTCGTCTTCCGTCAGCGTTCCCATACGCCTGCCGTATTTTCCATTAATGTTGGCCCACACGAGCGATCTCTCGGCCACAGGTGAACACACATCTAAGGCGTGGGAGTGCCAAAACCAATTTTGAAGTCGATTCTTTCCATGCGTCACCGTAAGGTTAACGTTCAGCATTCTCCGAAAGCGGATGGTCATGACACTTGTGGACGCCGCGTCCCCCCGCCTTTACTTTTGGACAGCGCCCTTTGGAGCAGCACAGTAGACATTCTCGGAGCACCGTGGGCACGTGAGGGAACGCACACGGCACGCCCGGTGTGGGCTGGAGGAAATCCCGGCGCCCACTGTTCCGCAGAACAGGGCGTGTCGTTGCCACGCGCTTTCTGCTACGCTTCGCAGACTTTTGAAAAGACCTGATTTGGTGCAGACAGACGGAGCCCGGCACAATGTCACAAAACGAAAACCAAAGCTGCGTGCCAAAGCCGAACGACCGAACCAAAAACGCACAACACGTGCTAAAACGCGTTAACCTTACTTAAAGCGCGTTAACCTAACGCGCTTAACCAACTAGCAAGTGAGCGTTACCGCCAACCTGCTAATCGTCCTCTTCAGTCCTGATTCTGCCCCGGCTACCTGCGCGCTTCTTGTCACGAGATCTGCCAGAGCAACGGGATGAATTATGGCCGAGGACATCATGGAACGTACTTGAAACTCCAGGTCCTGCCCTTCGCTTTCAGACGGTTAAGTCGCTTATAATCGCCGTGGCCGGAGGATGTTGTATGACGGGTGTAACAACGGCCGCACAGCCCTCCTTCAAAACACGCGCGGTTCGAGGCTTCACCATTCAAAGATATTCGCTCCGGTAGTTTTCCCGCAACAATCTGTCTGGGCACTCTCCTCCCATGATTACCACGGAAACGCCCTCCCCTTCCTTCCCTTCACCTCCAGACAGTGTATCAGTGTTATCACTCACTGCTCAAGGACTCCGGGAGAAGAATGCACGCTATGTCACGCTGAGTGCCTCTCGCCGCACGAGGACGAACAACGGCGCTATCGCCGCCTCAATCCCCCGCCCGCGCCGTCCCACCACGTGACCGCCGCGGCCGGGTCGACCCACGTCCCACCACGTGACCGCCGCGGCCGGGTCGACCCACGTCCCACCACGTGACCGCGCGGCCG